TGGCATAGTGTACAGAAACATCTGTGCCGAGTACAAGCTAGAAGTCCCAAAGTCAAAATGGGATACACCTCTCTCCAAAGGTGGTTGAGACCAAGCTAAGATCCTGTGTGACTTCCAGATACAAACTGACAAACTGCCAACCAACCGGACATAGTGGTGGACAAACAGTGGAAGAAGGCCGTACTGATAGATGTAGCAATCCCAAGTGATAGCAACATGAGGAAGAAGGAACAGAAGAAGCTCGAGAAATACCAAGGGCTGAAAGAAGAGCTAGAAAAGATGTGGAAGGTGAAGGCACAAGTGGTCCCCGAGGTAATAGGAACACTGGGGGCTGTGACTCCCAAACTGGGAGAGTGGCTCCAACAGATCCAAGGAACAACATCTGAGATCTCTGTCCAGAAGAGTGCAGTGCTAGGAACAGCTAAGATACTGCGCAGGACCCTCAAGCTCCCAGGCCTCTGGTAGAGGACGCGAGCTTGAAGGAAGGCATACAAGACCGCCCCAAAGTGGGGGGCGAGTGGGGAATTTTTTTATTTTTATTATTATACATAAAACTTCCCCACAGACTTTTATTTGTCCACATCTTTTCTAGCTCTGGGCAATTAACAGCTATGCCATAGCGTATGAGTAGTCAATGTGCCTCCACCGACCCCTTCTGCCTGCACCTCAGATAACAAGCAACCTCTCCCGGTACTTTGACTAGGTGCCTCGAGCTAACCATGATCAGTCAGTTAAAATAAAGTCCGTCCTTATTGTGACGGTATACTGTGTTTTTATTATTGGTGACACCAGTGTCGGTAACTTGGTGTTCAGACAAATGCAGTTCAATATAATACACTGTTACAGAGATCCTCAGACCTGTCATTTCCACAATTTTAGAAGTTTCGGGGGCCTCCAGCACAAACCATATAGAGAAACAGGAGACCCACACAAGGTGTCTTGTTGTTGATGCTGACCAACGGTTATGCTAACACCAGAGAGCATTGTTCAGAGACGTGATGTCCATTCACTCTCCACTGGTTTGTTGCTTCCCAGCTGATCATTGACTGGTCTCACCGTTCATCTCTGCTGGTCTTTCAGGGCCTATGGATTAGTTTTTAACCTTAAAGGTCAGTGATGAACAGTAAAAGGTCTGATTACCCACAGTCCTCTTCTGCTGGCCTCTGGCTCCCAGCAGCCCCTGCTCTCTGCTCCCATCATGCTCTAGTGGTGCCATGATGGTCCCAGGAGCTGCTGACAGACAGGAATTAACATCACAGTGTGGGTCTGTACAGAGGTCCTACAGGCTCAGTGTGATTGACATCCAACAAAACCAATCAGTGGGGAGCGTCAGGCTGAAGAGGACGAGGGAGTTGATCTCAAGTTTTCAAGCTGAGACCAACAAACTGTTCACAGGGCTGTTTTTAAAACTGGGTCGGTGTCACTATTACCTGTTCTGTGTGTGTGTGTGTGTGTGTGTGTGTGTGTGTGTGTGTGCGCGCGTGCATGTGCGTGCACAGGAAGCCCATGACGGTGAGGTGAATGCAGTGAAGTTCAGCCCTGGCTCTCGACTTCTGGCCACAGGAGGGACGGACCGCAGGGTGAAGCTGTGGGAGGTCATTGCAGGTGAGTTCACCATGAAAGTAAAACTTATTCACAAAGATGACAGGATCTTTAAGTGTGATTCCAACCTTTGGGGACAATGACAGCCTGTGTACAGTCTTCAGTTGTGTTTCTGCAAAAGTCTGGTGTCTTTGGCTTGACAAGCATGAAGAACAGACTGTGTGTACAGGAAACGAATTTTTATGTGTCAAGTCACTGTTTATAGAGCACATTGGAAAACGGCACATGCTCGCCAAGTGCTTTACACAGAGAACTACAATCAAATAAAAACTTATAAAATAAATAATGGTGATCATGCAAGTAAAAAGCAGAAGGTAGCAACTAACTTTGGATAAAATCATAAAGACACAGTAGAGAGCAAGCAAGTCAGTGTGCGCAGTAGTGACGACTAAGCCTAAAGAGAAGAGAGAGAGGCTTTCAGATGTTTGAAAGATTTCAATGGAGGATCAAACTGTCGGGACCAACAGCAGAAAATGTGCAGTTGTAACTGGAAAGAATTGATTGGTCAGCAGATCTGAGGAACTAAGTGGTGTAACCTGGTGTCAGCCCATGCAGAGCTTTACAGTCGCATAAAATTGTCTCAGTTTAAAGAGGAGGAGCTAAGACCTTCACTCAGCACCAAGCTGGAATGCCTGAGGCAAGGCAGTAAGGTTCTCTGGCACCTTACTGGATTACTGGCACATGGACATTTGTGATTTGTAAATGGATAGGCATGTCGTGTAAGAATTGGCTTATGGCTGTATATGTATGTATGCAGCCAAAGTAGACCTGTTTAATTAATAAATGCCATTGTTTACACTTTGCCTCAGTAATGAACGTGACCGCTGCGTGCTGTAAAGCACTGGAATAACGAGTTTTGTTTTCATATTGTCACGCTTTTTTGGAGTAATCTGGCAATTGTTTAACAATAGTAGGTCAGTTGTGCATATGATATTTAAGAGACCAAGGGAGGAATGGGTGTTGAAAAGCTTGATAGTGGCGCACTGGGCGTTGGATCAGCTTTGGACTTGGATTAGCCGTCCAGACTATGGTTTCTATTCGAAGAGTCCCACACTGAGTCGGACCACTCCAAGTGGCCTACTACACAACAACACAATTGGATGCATGATATAAAATAAAACTAATTTGACAAATTATAAAGCACCAGACCCCCCACCCCACCAATGCTTCAGGCGCAGAAAAATTACTTTCTTTAAGCCTTATCACCTTTTTGTTGACAAAGCAGAACTAATTAGTGGGGTTTGTTGGCTTTAGTTTCCGTTGCTTACTTTCAGTGTCTAATATTTAAAAATGTTTCCTGACTAGGGATCCGGTTCAATCGCAGTTTTTACACTTAACAAATCTGAATCCTTTAGAATCCCTTATCCTGTCTGCTCTGTGACTTTCATCAGCCCTGTCTCATATTGTGCTGTTTGCAACCCTCACCGGGAGCTGTGCTGCTCCAGTAAAAACAATGCTAATGTTGCTCTGCTACAGAGGCCAAGCACTCGTTCTTCTCATGTTATCAAATATAACACAAGTTCTTATTTTAACATGTTGGACACTGAGGATGTTTCAGCCCCCCACTCCTTTTTATTTTATTGACCTGCAAATCACTTTTTTTTAGTTGTTTCTTTGACTTCGGAGTTGTTAAGCAGGTTCGCCATGTTTGTTTACGGACAGGTTTTTTTCAAACTTTATTGGTATGTGGTGATGTAATACATAGAATAATGTAGATTAAAACAGTGCCGCTAAGCCATCACCAGGTTTTATGTGTTTTTACTTTAGTGACATCTGTTTTATCAGAGAGGCCAAAGAGTGTAAACTAAATGGAGAATGTAAGTGACGGTCAACAATGTACTCGTTTGGCCATGAAGCTTCATGGACCGCGGTTTTTCACCAAATTGGAACCCGATCCAAAATAGAATTGGCTGTCAGAACCCATCCCTGTACGTCATGCAGCTCACTAACATTGTCCTCATGTCTCAGCTGCTGTAATATGACGACGACTGATTGTGTGTCCAGGTCATTGTGAACCTAAAGGTGCTCTGACCGGCAGCAACGCTGGAATCACCAGCATCGATTTTGACAGTGCTGTAAGTCTGCACATGTACCTGATTTCACCATTTTCTCCTGTTTTTGTTTGTAGGTGTTCATTTATTTTGTCTCTGCTTTCAAGGCTTGTACCTGCTGGTCTCATGAGTGATTATTGTGTGTGTCTGCAGGGTTCGTACCTGCTGGCTGCCTCCAATGACTTTGCCAGTCGTATCTGGACTGTAGACGACTACAGACTGAGGGTGAGGCTGTGCAGCTCTGACTTTGCACTGTATTATTACCTGCCTCATCCTCATTCACTTTGCTCCTTAGCTGCACATGTCACAATAAGATTAATTCTATTGGTTCATTCACTGTCAGCTCAGGTCTCACTCATGCTCACAGACAGTGTAACACTGGTGGCAGGCTGAGGCAGAGCACTCGTTGTTGTCGTCCTGTTATCAGCAGTAACACCAGGTCTGACTGTAAAACGCTGGACAGGAACAGTTCAACAGATGTCACATTTTTATTGTCGTTTCATTGACTTTGTAGCATTTCAGCCGGTTGGCCATGTTTGTTTACTGGTGTCACATTTGCTTACTTCAGTAGTGAATGTTTTCTCTCCATCAGCTGTATTGATGACCTGGTGTGTGTGTGTGTGTGTGTGTGTGTGTGTGTGTGTGAGA